TGGCCCAGGATCAGACATTGTTTTGTTCTGCTGTGCATGGGGTCGCTATGAGTTGGTTCTGACTCGATGGCACCTGACAACAACAACAACAGATGAGTCTGGAGAAAGGAAATAGGAAAAGTATCCTTTTGATTCAATAGCGAGTAATTGAGTAATTGTTATCAGAACTAATAGTGATGGTCACAACTGTAAACATAGAATTTGCATAAAAAAAGAGGGCTGTAGTTAATCTTACATTCCAGGAAAAGAGGACCCTAGGACCATCAAGAGAGAAAAGCATGAGTGGAACTTTTGGGACCCTAACCAGAGAAGCAGCAACACCAGAGTTGGAGACAGAGATGATGTCATGGAAAGATAGAGCAGCTGAGGATCTAGACTTATGGAAAGAGAAAGGCTGTGTGCTGGCAGGCAGGCAGGCAGTGTTGCAAAATGTGCCCTTTGGTTGTTTACGCAATTATACATTCCTCCATGTTTTTGTGTACATCCAAAAAAAAAAAAGGGATATAGAGACAAATACTGTTAACTGATTGTGCACAGGGGGTATGGGGGGGGACTTGGGGAATTGTAAATCATTGCAATGAAACAAAATGCAATTGCTGATTGCAAACCCGATGTTTTCCCATGTAAACTGTTATTCAATTTACAATAAAAGCTTAAAAAAATAATAAAGAGACCGGTATAGGTTTCAAATTCTGAGATGTAACTTTCTCACATCTAAATGCAAATTTTCAGTAGCCAGTATTGAATTATATGAAGTGGCTTAAAAAAGTCCATGGAAAAATAGAATTAAAAGATAATGGAGGATTTGGGGGCAGGTGAAGCATACACAGGACACCTCGGCAGAGGTATGGAAACAACAGAGAAGGAGCTTTCCCGGAGCAGTGCCAGAGTTTTGGATCTTGTATAAAGCACCAGGTGCCAGTTTCCCACACCCATCTGTGCACAGTTTTCCCATGGCAAAGGGAAGAGTTTCCTGAGAGCCCTGTTGGTCCCACAGGCTAATTCTTATGACATCTGACCCAGCCCAAAAGTTGACTTGGACGGAACCCTTTATCTCTGCCTGCACAGCAAAGGCTACTGGACAGTTGGCTATGGTTTTTTTTGTTTTTGTTTTTGAGTGGTGGTTTTTGTCTCTGCTTTCATAGTTTCTGTTTTTGATCCTTTTGGTCTCTTTTCCTGGGGGTGGGAGCTTTTTCCACCTACCTTACCCAAGAAGAGACAGCAAGTGTGCTCATATAGCCAAGCTACAAACATACCCTGTAATATCCCACCATTTGGACAAAGCCAATACCAGCAGCTTGTAATTACACGTGAAAAGGGAAGCCTATCTCCAGATCACATCTACCAGGAGACACTCAGTAAGCTTAACAACATAGCAATATATATTCATTTAAACATTAAAAACTTACCTTAA